GGTCATCAGCAGTAGGAGATGGAGGGCAAGCTGCAGTGTCACTCACGCCTGACGTGGATGGCACAGGTTCTGGCTCCTTGCTGGATTCAATTCTATCTACCCTTTTGAAAAAACAATCCAGGGATGTCTGGGTAGTAGCTCTTTTTTTCTCATCATAGATGACATGGTTGCACTGGATTACATCCTGAACAGCTGTTGTAACCTTCATGTATTGTTCTACGTTCTGGTCCTTTGCCTCAAAAACTAACAGTGCCTTATCGAATAAAGAAAATCTCCTTGCCATTTCCTGTGTCGTGAATCTCTTTGGTTCTTCAGTTATTTCCTCTTCCTCCTGTCTCTCTTGGTGTTTCTTAGCAGTACCAGCTACATTACCACTGCTTTTACGCTTGCTTCTGGACATCCTGGACTTGAAACAAAGATACTGTACTACTGTGCTCTATACAGTACTGTACAGTATACAAAAGCACAACCACTTGTAGAGGATGCACTCACGTGACAATGTATGCCAAACACGTGAACTAATTTACCATGATTGGCCATGTGAATGCACATCCTCATCTTTGAAAGTTCACAACTTGAAGGTTTCCATGTAGGGGACTTACTGTATCCAGGTTGCAAACCTTACCCTCCTATAATGTCATTTTTATACTCCCCGGTTAGTCAAAGAGTCGTCATATCCACAACATGATCTATAGCAGAAGGACTCTCTACGTGATTTTCTGAAGCGGGGTAGTGGAGGGCAATAAGGAAGAAGGAGAAGGAGCAGAACAAATACCTTCCTGACTTAAAAGGAAGAATCTAATTTTAAACATCAGATTGCCAAAAAACATCACACATCTGCTGCAACTGATTGTTGGAAAGGAAGTATCATTAAGCATTCAACAGAAAATCCTAGAAGGAATTATGTATCGAATACCTTGGAATAAAAGCACCTTTCAGGAAGACTTCCCTGTCACAGGGGGTACCAAGTTTTCATTCCACAAATAACATTTCTACTATTCACTTTAATTCTCGTCATACAAAATGCTAGACTTACAACTGGATTGAAAGCACTGAGTAGAAAGAGGGTGATTTTTCCTGATTTTCTCTTCTCATTGCCTCATAGGACCTAAAAGATGGTTAGCCATTTAGACACTTAACAAATTACTTCAAATAATGTAGCAAAATAAAGACTTTCATTTGTAACATAAGGCTAAAGAACCATTTCTCATATTCAACGGTAAGGATAGAAATTATTAAATTTCTCTAATCTCATATTTTAGAAAACTCATCCCAACATGCAGTCAGCTTAGTGGTAAATCAACCCCATTCAAGACGGGTTTCTTTGGCCTTGGATTGCTGTTAGTGAAATCTCACTTCTGCCCCATAAATAGTAGAAAATACCCCTACAACCTGGGCCTAAACAAACACAGAAGAGAAAGAAAATATGTGCCTGTTAACCTCTCAGATCCCCAAATACCTCAATGTCCTTTGATTTTCACTTCCTTTGTTTTTCTGTAGGCATGTTTATCTTCTAACGCATCTTTGTCATCAGCCTCTCACAAGTAAAGCTTTTCCTCCTCCTCGACAATATCTACTTTTTTCCCATTAGAATTTTGTCAAGGCAGAGCTTTCACAATGTCATAATAAATTCTATGCTATATTGGTCCTCTTATCATTTTAGAGGCTAAGTGGATTTAGGAAAAATAAGTGCATTGCATCAGCGGTTTTCATCTACTATTTTGTAGATACAACATACTTTGTCTTCAGATCAAATATGATAACATACTTTTGTTCATACACTGAGCACAAAATTATCCTTCTTAAGAATCAAGCTTCAAGGTTTTTGATTTCTAGTATTTATCTTTCACATTGAATGTATATACATTCATATGATTATAAAATTACGCAATTATTTTATGTAGATCAGTGATGACTGCATACCAATGTTATAAAACAACACGTTACAAAGCACTATGCTTAGGGAAAATGGTAACTGTGAACATCTGGATTGAGAAATTTAAATTTGAAAAAGTCTGATTTTTCCATAAAGCTTTTTCTCTATGCTTGTCCAGATTTGAGTTAGTACTGAAACCACTTATCTGAAACAGGCTAATTAAATGTGGATCCAAATATGTTACTCAGATTAAACACCCAGGTTAAAAAAAAAAATGAGTATTTTTCTTTCTTTGTTATGTTGCTACATTGATATAAGAATTTTTTTTTAGTGTTGCTCTTGAGGATATTCAGCAATTTCGATGCCCGAGAGTAGAATAAGAATGACCAAAATGGGAAAACATTTTAAAACTGAATTCACCAAATTTTATCAAGGAAAATAACTATATACTTGAAAACTGCCAAAAATATCTTGAGGAGGTATGAGTTTCATTTTAAAAACTAGATAAGAAGAAAATCTATCTCTATTTCAATTAACCCACATGCAATTCCTAATTTGAAGCTTCAGTCCGCCAAAGCCCCTAATCTCTGTGAATTGAAGGACCTACCTTTTTCCCCCGAAACACAAGGTGGTGTCTACCTTCTGGGCAAGATGGATACTCAAAACATTTTCAAACATTGTGGTTGAGACACTGACCATTAAGAACAGAAGCTCAATCAATCAGGGCAGATGCTGGCCAGCAAACACAAGCCTAGCTGACTGGCGTGGCCCTGCTTGGTATCGGCCACGTTCCTAGAAGCACAGAGCTGGCACGGGAGGAGGAGTGGAATACTGTTATCCACCCACTTTGGTATTCACTTTGGGGTCTCTTTCCTCTTTGGGTTTGAGTTTTGACCACCAAGGTCCTTGTGCCTCCTCTGTACCACAGATCCTCTCCAGCCTGATTCTCCCACTAATCCCCCTCCTGAGTACAAAGGGAGCATCATTTTTCTCTATTATTCAAAAGGATGAAGGGAACTCCTGCCTAGACAGACCACACAGCCTTTTCTTCTCAATCACTTTTGCACTGTGCCAGGTACAAGTTCCAGGGCATTCCTCCTTCAACCTGCCTTCCTACGTATGGATTCTGCAAATCTCTCTCATGTCTCTGTCATGTTTCCCAACAGGAATTTGATAGTAGGATCAGGGCAAAAATGCAAGACTCCAAAACTCAAAAATTTAACTTTTTAGTCCGATTATGCCATGGCGATCATCCCTTGCATCTAACGAGAAGAAAACTCTTCTATGGCACCTAAATAGGGGAAGGCTTAAACAGTGTTAAGTCCCACTACTTATACAGGTGAAATGTAGTCCAACTACTTATATATTTCATGGGCGGGGTATTTTATTATTGTTGTCTTTTCACATTCCTATACCATCTGCATCCATATGCAGAATTTTGAGATTCTTCTCCTTATTTTCCATTTTTAAACAACTTTGTTAAGGTATAATTCACCTACCATACAATTCACCCATTTAATATGCACAGTTCAATGTATTTAAATACATTAACAGAGTTGTGCAACCATCACTGCAATCTAATTTTAGAACACTTCATCACCTCCAAAGAGACCCCATACTCATTAGCAGACATTCCTCATTCCCCTCCACCCCACTGGCCACTGGCAACCACTTATCTACTTTCTGTCTCTATAGATTTGCCTATTGGGATATTTCATATGAATGGAAACATAAAATATGTGGTCTCTTGTGCCTGGCTCCTTTTCCTTCACATAATATTTTCAAGATTTATTCATGTAGCATGTATAAGTACTTCAGTCTTCTTTTATTGTTAAATAATATTCCTTTGTATGGATTTATCAGATTTTACTTATCCACTAGAGTATTTTCTTATTAATATACTTTTTCCTCTTATCATGCCTAGAACCTTAGCTATGCTATAGGGGTCTCGTAAAGGTTTTCAGAATGAAACTGATGAAATTGGTGAAAATCAGAAATGTAGTAAACAACTACAACCTCTTACTATCGAAAAAGCGATCTGTTCAAATTGAAGAAAGGCAACTAATGCAAATATTCAAGTACCCATATGTCGAGAAACTTTAAAAACACGAGCAAACATGAAGAAAGTGAATAAGCATTGCTTCTGCTTTCTATCACCAAGATTTTCATCAAAACTTATATTGGTTCCATCTATAAGACTTATAAACAAGTAGATAAAAGTGGAAAATGGAACCAATAATTATTATCTCTACAATATCAAGCAATAAGAGTGGTGGATTTTTCTTTTTTCATGTTGATTTCACAGAACTATGTAGTTGCTTTGAGGATGATTCTGAGAAGCTGACATACCTGTTTGCGTGGGGAGTAAAAACTGATATTAGCTGTGCTAGAAAATATCAATATGAAAATTTAGGGGACTCTTCACACTCCTTACAACAGTGGTTATTTAAAAGAAAGTGTGGCAGATTTAGCTGTCGTCCTGTTATTATTTACAATTTTGATTTAGTGGTATTTTTCACATGGGCAAAACCCTTAATGGACTCCCAAGTCAGACACAGTGGTACAATTATAATTAGGACTCATGTGTATTAAGAGTTCTGAATCTGATATTATAAAGTCAAAGAACCTCACTGCATGGATGGATAAATGTAGTTTCTATCTTTCAGGTGCAAGAGAAAACATGTTCAATAATTTGTGTAGTGCCCTAGATATTAATAGAAATAATATGGGAGCTAAAGCTTGATTAGTTCATTATTCCTTCTACATGCTCCTCTGTCTCAAAACGTGTGAGATAAATTATTGGAGAGGACCTTATTCCCTCTCAGTGCTGTGTTTTCAAGGATTTTTTTTTCTCTTCAAGTCAATTTTTTTCTAGGAGTAACACAATCACATTGAAATAACCTTGCATTTTCTTCCCTTCGTAAGTTAATTCACACGACAAAACTGCATTTTATGCTCTCATTCACATAGTCATTTTAAAGGACACACAAACAAAGGGTTTTAAGTTTTTAGGCTATTTGGGAAAAAAAAGAATAAACGGAAACAGCAGTCATCTGTGAAAACAGCTGACATTTAGTTTCAAAGGTAAGGTAAATCCGAATGGCATGAGAACCTTTCTACTCACAGGTGTCTAAAGATTCGTCTGAATCATCAGGGCAGTCTGGGTCCCCATCACACAGCCAGCTCTGGGAGACACAAGTCACATGATCGTGGCAAAGAAATTCACCAGGATCACACAACTGCTGATCTGAAAATGAAAATGTTTCAAAATAAAATATGAATGATCTGAACATGAACACAAGAGCAGTACAAAGATGAAATGTGAGAAGGCAATGCATAAAAGGTCTATCAATGTGGTCCCCATTTTCTGTTCGGCAACAAAGCTAAACCAATTATTTTTCTTATTTTTATCCACTCAGCTCAAGCACTCAATTCTGATAGACTTAACTTTGTTGTGGTCTCACACAATCTATCCTGAAAATAGTTAAGAATTCTATTTGTGTTTAGGACTAGAGGCTTCCTCATATCAGATAAGGCATAGAGCTATCACAGCAAGCAGGTTTTATAGAAGATGTTGATCCAAAGCAGAAGCTCTTGAGCAGAAAAATTTTAGTTTCCTCCTCTGCTCCAAGACAATGAAAAATCAGCAATAAAAATTAAACCTTGTACGTAAACTCCATCTCTTAGTATTTAGTTCTTAACTATCCAACCTTATGCTAGAGCTTCATGCCTTTACATCTGTTAGATACCCAATATCATAATATATTTTTCACTACCACTTTCCAATTGACAGTTTCTGCTACTGGACAGTGAGGGTGATAGTAAAATCCCATAAAGCTTTGTTCTAACTCAGGTTTCTACATTTGATCGTATTCAAAAAGTCCATTATTTTCCTTCCATTGTTTCAGAATATTTAGGATCTGTTGCCTTTCCTCAGGTCCTAGTAAACTCATCAGATGTTGTTTTTTGCAGTATTCTTACTTATGCCCTATAAGTCCATTCAACAAAATATTTCTTTTTTAAAAGTATTTAAAAACATGTCTGAAATAGAAATGTTTCTCACAATTGATGACCTCGGAGTGTGAAAGAGTGTTAGGAGTGTTAGACATTTGATATCACTCATTCTTTGTTATGTATATACAGGAATGATCCAACGTCAAAGAAATCCATCAGTAAATATGTCTTTCAGTATATACCAAATGCATATTCTAAGTGATACAAAAGCATTACACCATAGCTTAATTGGCCTTTTTCCCCTAGCAATCTACAAAATGGCGGCACATCTTCCACTTAATCATTTGATAAGGTACAGTATGTCTTTCCTTTCTCTCCCTCAACCTCTTCCCCGACCCCAAAATAACTTAAAACAAATATACTTTACAAACACACAAACACATCCAGACACACACAAATACACATCTTTCATCTATAATTAACTCTTCCCACTCTCACACTATGATATTTTCTGAAAATTCATATATTTTACCTTATTATACACCATCAATACCACACTCATTACCACTGCTATCATAATCATTGTTGTTTTTTTTCACATTAGGTTGTTTGTGCATACTTTGAATTTGGCCTTAGAGTTGGTGCTATAGAATCAAAGATGTATAAGTCTCAGTCTTTGTCTTGAAAGATGCAGTCAGACTACTTACACCAACAGATCCCAAAGGAAAAAAAAAGTACATCGTATACCAAAAGTTGCCAAATAAGTGATTTAGAAAATAACTGCTAAAAGGAGAGATCACAGGTACAGACAGATGGATACCAATACAAAGAAAAGTCTGGGGATAGAAGCATGATTTTAAACATGGGTAGGCTATGCATAAATGGAGAGTAAATACAGGACATTTCAGACAAGAGGTAGAGTAATAAAAATTGTTAAGGCAGTAATTATTGAAATGCATTTGAGACAAATGTTTTATACTAAAGTTGAAATGACATTCAGGTGATAAGATCCATCTAGGCTTTTCTCCACCAAACATTATGTGTGATATTTATAAGTATGTCCTGGTGTTAGAGGAAAGGGACTTAAATTCTGCTTTAGACAGTCATGTAACCTTTGTAGTTAATGTAGGGAAAGAGCACATGAGAAAATTCAAATTATTTTTGCTTAGAGACAGAGACTATATGATTTATCACCAAACAGGGAGAGTTCTGAAGGTGAAGGAAGACATTAATAATTACACTGGGACAGCGAGTATAAACCAAGTCTATTCCAGAAAAATCAGAATGACTGCTCACTGTACCTATAGCTAGTCTGCATTTGATCTATGATTTTGAGATGCTAGGTTTTCTCTTCCTTCATTCCTCCCAAACTATAACCAATTGCTATAAGAAAAGGGGAAAAGAGATGGTGCCTTGCTAAATGCCACTGTATAGTGTCTGTCTCAGTAAATAATCAACAAGTTATTTGCTGAAGTATAAAGAAATAAAAAGGGCCAACAGAACAATTTATAGTGCTGAAAAATAGTGTCTCAAAAACATAGGTCAGGGACTTCCCTAGTGGCGCAGTGGTTAAGAATCCGCCTCCCAATGCAGAGGACACGGTTTCTTCCTGGTCCAGGAAGATCCCACATGCTGTGGAGCAACTAAGCCCGTGCGCCACAACTACTGAACCTGCACTCTAGAGTCTGCAAGCCACAACTCCTGAAGACCGCACACCTAGACCCCATGCTCCACAACAAGAGAAGCCGCTGCAATGAGAAGCCCACGCATGGGAACAAAGAGTAGCCCCTGCTCTCTGCAGCTAGAGAAAGCCCGAGTGCAGCAACAAAGACCCAATGCAGCCAAAAGAAAAAAAAAAAAAAAATAGGTCAGGGTTAGTAATGAAGAACCTTGAGTACCACAGGAAGCATTTTGTAGATAATTTGAAGCCATGGACAATTACTTAAGAAATGGTATTTATGTTAAAATAAACTGCAAAGTCACCTGTGAGGAGACTACTGCAATTGTCTAGAGAAAAGCTTAAGATGATTGGGGTAAAGTAGTGGGGACTAAAATGGAGACTGTGCTCCAAATGATCTAATATAAGAGTTAGGAATTAGTGACTAAATAGGTGAAAGACTCAAATATGCCTCCAAGTAAATAGCCTCAAAAATTGATTAGATGGGGTCTCAAAACCAAGATAGGACATAGAGATGGGGAAAAAAAAAGAGAAGATATTGTACATGTGAGTGTAAATGTGTATGTGACCCTTGTCATGGGGGCAGTGGAATAATAATAGTAGGAATAATTAGTATTTTTATCGTGCTCTGCAGTTCAAAAAGCAGTGCCACCCCTGATATCTTAATTTGTTCATTCATTTATTTATTCAACAAATATCACTGAGCTTCTAGTATGTTCTAGGGACTGAGGATACAATAGTGAGGAAAACAAAGCAGAATCCCCTGCCATCATAGAGCTTACGTTACAGTGGAGGATAGAAACAGAAACAAAATAAACACGGGTTAACTGCAAAGTATATTAGAAGATAAACACTATGGAGAGATGGGGATTAAGGGTTGGAGACCAGGGTCAGGGGGTGGACATACAATTTTAAATAAGGTGGTCAGAGAACGTGTCACCGAGAATGTGACGTTTAATAAAGGCTTATAGAAGGTGAGAGTGACATCCATTTGAATAAAAGGTCATGTGCTAAGAACCTCTGGCAATATTCCATTTTATATACGTACCACGTCTTCTTTACCATTTATCTGTCAATCCATTTAGGTTGCTTCCATGTCCAGGCTACTGTAACTGGTGCTGCAATGAACATTGGGGTGCATGTATCTTTTCAAATTATGGTTTTCTCTGGATATATGCCCAGGAGTAGGATTGCTGGATCATATGGTAGCTCTATTTTTAGTTTTTTAAGGAAACTCCATACTGTTCTCCATAGTGGCTGCACCAATTTACATTCCCACCAACGTAGGAGGGTTCCCTTTTCTCCACACCCTCTCCATCATTTATAAAATGGAATATTACTCAGCAACAAAAAGGAATGAAATAATGCCATTTGCAACAACATGGAGGGACCTAGAGATTATCACACTGAGTGAAGTCAGTCAGACAGAGAAAAACAAATATCATATGATATCACATATGTGGAATCTAAAAAAATGGTACAAGTGAACTTACAAAACAGAGTCACAGATGTAGAAAACAAATTTATGGCTACCAAGGGGGAAAGTGGGGGGGGGGATAAATTGGGAGACTGGGATTGACATATATACACTAGTATATATAAAATAGATAACTAAAAGGACCTACTGTATAGTGCAGGGAACTCTACTCAGTACTCTATAATGGCCTACATGGGAAAAGAATCTACAAAAATAGTGGATATATGTATATGTATAACTGATTCACTTTGCTGTGCGCCTGAAACTAACACAACATTGTAAATCAACTATACTCCAATAAAAATTAATTAAAAAAGAAAGAACCTGTGGCAAGAGGGAGCCCAGCAAATTTAAGGAACACTAAGGAAGTCTGAGTGGCTGGAAAAAACGTGAAAGTGGAAGAATTGAGGTCACGGAATCAAGGAATATGGTGTAGAGGTTAGCGGATGAAGATCCTAGTTTTACTAAAAATCAAGATGGGAAACCATTGGAATGTTCTGAGTAGAGAGACACAATCTAACTGACTTTCTTTTTTAAAGGATCACTCCAGGTACTGTGTGGAAAATAGAGTGCAGTGAAGTGAAGGTAGAAGTAGGGAGGTCAACGAGGATGCAATTGCAATAATGCGGGTGAAAGGGAGTAGTTGTGCGAATACATGTGTTGGTGAGGTGGAGTTTCAAGACTATTTGATAAGGAAACAAGTCAGATATCCTTCTACCGTCTCATTAAATGTCAGGATCTTACACTCAGATCTCTGACCTCAAAAGTATGACTTTGCAACAGTTTTTTTGAAATATACTGACTATGAGATGCTTGGGAGACTTCCAAGAATAAATATGCAATAGACAGTAACACATTGAAGTCTGAAATTCAGGAGAAACATCAAAACTGAAAACACAGAAAAGAACTGGAGCTGTAAGAAGACAGTGAAAAGGGGCTTCCCTCGTGGCACAGTGGTTGAGAGTCCGCCTGCCGATGCAGGGGACACGGGTTCGTGCCCCGGTCTGGGAAGATCCCACATGCCGCAGAGCGGCTGGGCCCGTGAGCCATGGCCACTGAGCCTGCGTGTCCGGAGCCTGTGCTCTGCAACGGGAGAGGCCACAACAGTGAGAGGCCCGCATACCGCAAAAAAAAAAAAAGAAGACAGTGAAAAGCATAGGAATAGATTTAGATGAAATTAAAGTGAGGTGGGGGAAGAGGGAAAGACAGAGACAGGGAGAGAAAGGCAGCAAAGTAAGAGTAGGTCAGGCAAGGAGACAGAGGAGACAGAAAGTTTAGCCAGAGATACAAGAGAATAAGGTCAAGGGGAAAGAGGATGCACTAAAATCATGAAAAATTTTAAGAACAGATTGAGGTCACCAGTGACCAAGTTCAAGTATGATAAATTCTAATAAGATAGGGTAGACTTGTAGGCTGAGGGAAAGGTGCCACCGAAGGAAGAGAGACTGGAGGCTCCAAAAGGATAGGCAAGTGCAGCAGTTTCCCAAGAACTCACAGGGCTGGAAGTAAAACCTAAACAACAGTAGGAGCACTTGCCCTGAGGAAGAAAGGATAGAAAAATGAGACAGATAAATCATTAGCTGGTAGGGAAGAAGGTTAAGGAATCCTTACCAGGTTGTGGTTCCTCAAAGAACTGAAAAGCAAGATTAGTTTTCGTAATTTGAAGAAGGTAGACTTGGAAAGAGTAGTAAAGATTTAGAATGAGTAGAAAATTGAAAAGGAAGTCAACTAGAAATCTGTGAAAGGATTTCTTTCTAACAGCAATGAGAATACAGTTAAGGTTGAAAACTATATATTTGACAGTTGATTTATTTTCTATGAATGCCCAAATGTTCACCTGCATTGAGCCATAGATATAGAATAATTCCTTGAGAAAATCCCAGAAGAAAGTCCCTTGGGAAAATATGCAAACCACCCATCCTCAACATATATGCACATGTATATAGACACATACACAAAACCATCATGATTCAAAACAACTTTTTTTTTTTTTCAGGAGTGAGACATACTTAAGGGGATTTACCTAATGAGCCTATGTTATCAGCTTGCTAAGCAAGCTCCAACCTTTAAAGGGAGTTTGCATAGTTGCAATTTTGAGGACAGTTTTATATTATCCCTCTAGGAAATAGCAGTTAAAAATAGCTTGCTACAACCCACCTATTTATTTTTCACCTTGATACTCCATTTCGGGGTCTGTTTCTAAAAGCATTGATTATAGGATTAAAATAAATGAATTTTCAGTATTTCAAGGTGATTATTTTAAAATAACATACACTGGATTGAGTTCCTTGAATCAGAAGCTAAATATGTTATGTCTATGTGTATTTTCCATTTATCCTATTTAATGCTTCAAGCTACACTTCTGAGATTGCCAAACTAATCTTATTTTATATGTCTTCCTATTGTATGAAACACAATATTATACACTGTAATTAAAACAAGAAGCTTATGAGAATGTGCAGGAAGTTTCGCTTACATCCCTAAGGAAGAAGATCAAAGCTAGCATTGAGAGACCTTCAGGATGGCAGATGACTAAAATGTGGAGATCACCTTCTTTCCCACAAATACATCAGAAATACATCTACATGTGGAACAACTCCTACAGAACACCTACTGAACGCTGGCAGAAAACCTCAGACCTCCAAAAAGGCAAGAAACTCCCCATGTACCTGGGTAGAGCAAAAGAAAAAACAGAGACAAAAGACTAAGGATGGGACCTGCACCAGTGGGAGGGAGCTGTGAAGGAGGAAAGGTTTCCACACACTAGGAAGCCCCTTCGCTGGTGAAGACTGGGGGTGGTGGGGGGGAAGCTTCGGAGCCACGGAGGAGAGCACAGCAACAGGGGTGTGGAGGGCAAAGCGGAGAGATTCCTGCACAGAAGATCAGTGCCGACCAGCACTCACCAGCCCAAGAGGCTTGTCTGCTCACCCGCCGGGACGGGCAAGGCTGGGAGTTGAGGCTCGGAGCTCGGTTGGAGCACAGGGAGAGGACTGGGGTTGGCAGCGTGAACACAGCCTGAAGGGGACTAGTGCGCCACAGCTAGCGGGAAGTGTGTTCAGGAAAAGGTCTGGAGCAGCTGAAGAGGCAAGAGACTTTTTCTTCCCTCTTTGTTTCCTGGTGCGCGAGGCGAGGGGATTAAGGGCGCCTCTTAAAGGAGCTTCAGAGACCGGCGTGAGCCGCGGCTATCAGCGTGGACCACAGAGACTGGCATGAGACGCTCAGGCTGCTACTGCAGCCACCAAGAAGCCTGTGTGCAAGCACAGGTCAGTAGCCACACCTCCACTCCCAGGACCCTGTGCAGCCCGACACTGCCAGGGTCCCATGATCCAGAGACGACTTCCCCGGGAGAACGCCTGGCACGCCTCAGGCTGGTGCTACGTCATGCTGGCCTCTGCCGCTGCAGGCTCGCTCTGCATCGTACCCCTCCCTCCCCCGGCCTGAGTGAGCCAGAGCCTCCGAATCAGCTGCTCCTTTAACCCCGTCCTGTCTGAGCAAAGAACAGACGCCCTCAGGCAACCTACATGCAGAGGCGGGGCCAAATCCAAAGCTGAAGCCCAGGAGCTGTGTGAACAAAGAAGCGAAATCTCTGCCAGCAGCCTCAGGTGCAGAGGATTAAATCACCATAATCAACTTGATGTACCCTGCCTGCATCTCTGGAATACCTGGATAGACAACGAATCATCCCAAAATTGAGGCAGTGGACTTTGGGAGCAACAGTAGCCATGGGATTTACTTTCTTCATAATTTGTTTCTGGTTTTATGTTTATCTTAGTTTAGTATTTAGACTTTATGATTATTGGTAAATTTGTTTATTGATTTGGTTGCTCTCTTCCTTTGCTTTTAATATATATATATATTTTTCATTTTTCTCTTTTTCTGAGTGTGTATGTGTATGCTTCTTTGTGTGATTTTGTCTGTATAGCTTTGCTTTTACCATTTGCCCTCGGGTTCCGTCTGTCTGTATTTTTGTTTTTAGTATAGTTTTTAGCACTTGTTATCATTGGTGGATTTGTTTTTTGGTTTGGTTGCTCTCTTCTTTCTTTCTTTTTTTTTATTACTTCTTAATTTTTAAAATTTTCAATAATTTTATTTATTTTTATTTTAATAACTTTATTTTATTTATTTCTTTTTTTCTTTCTTTTATCTCCCTTTTCTTTTGAGCCATGCAGCTGAACAGGGTCTTCGTGCTCCAGGCAGGTGTCACACCTGTGTCTCTGAGGTGGGAGAGCCAAGGTCAGGACATTGATCCACCAGAGACCTCCCAGCTCCACATAATATCAAACAGCAAAAGCTGTCCCAGATATCTGCATCTCAATGCTAATACTCAGATCCACTCAATGACCAGCAAGCTACAGTGCTGGACACTCTATGCCAAACAACTAGAAAGACAGGAACACAACCCCACCCACAGCATAGAGCCTGCCTAAAATCATAATAAGGTCACAGAAACCCCAAAACACACCACCGGGCACGGTCCTGCCCACCAGAAAGACAAGATTCAGCCTCATCCACCAGAACAGAGGTACCAGTCCACTCCACCAGGAAGCCTACACAACCCACTGAAACACCCTTAGCCACTGGCGGCAGACACCAAAAGCAATGGGAACTACGAACCTGCAGCCTGCAAAAAGGAAATACCAAATACAGTAAGTGAAGTGAAATGAGAAGACAGAGAAACACACTGCAGATGAAGAAGCAAGGTAAAAACCCAGCAGACCAAACAAATAAAGAGGAAATACACAGTCTAACTGAAAAAGAATTCAGAGTAGTGATAGTAAAGATGATCCAAAAATCTGGAAATACAATGGAGAAAAAAAAATGTTTAACAAGGACCTAGAAGAACTAAAGAACAAACAAACAATGACGAACAACACAATAAATGAAATTAAAAATTCTCTAGAAGGAATCAATAGCAGAATAACTGAGGCAGAAAAACGGATAAGTGACCTGGATGACAAAATAGTGGAAATAACTACTGCAGAGCAAAATAAAGAAAAAAGAATGAAAAGAATTGAGGACAGTCTCACAGACCTCTGGGACAACACTGAATGCACCAACATTCGAATTATAGGGGTTGCAGAAAAAGAAGAGCAAAAGAAAGGGACTGAGAAAATATTTGAAGACATTTTATTTGAAAACTTCCCTAATATGGGAAAGGATATAGTCCAACAAGTCCAGGAAACACAGAGAGTCCCATACAGGATGAATCCAAGGAGAAACAGACCAGACACATACTAATCAAACTATCAAAAATTAAATACAAAGGAAAATATTAAAAGCAGCAAGAAAAAAAAAAATAACATACAAAGGAATCCCGATAAGGTTAACAGCTGATATTTCAGCAGAAACTCTGCAAGCCAGAAGGGAGTGGCAGGACATATTTAAAGTGATGAAACGGAAAATACTACAACCAGGATTACTCTACCCAGCAAGGATCTCATTCAGATTTGATGGAGAAATTAAAACCTTTACAGACAAGAAAAAGCTAAGAGAATTCAGCACCACCAAACCAGCTTTACAAAAAATGCTAAAGGAACTTCTCTAGGAATGAAACACAAGAGAAGGAAAAGAGCTACAATAACAAACCAAAAACAATTAAGAAAATGGTAATAGGAACATATATATTGATAACTACCTTAAATGTAAATGAATTAAATGCCCAACCAAAAGACACAGATTGGCTAAATGGATACAAAAAGAAGACCCGTATATATGCTGTCTACTTCAGACCTAGGGACACATACAGACTGAAAGTGAGGGGATGGAAAAACATATTCCATACAAATGGAAATCAAAAGAAAGCTGGAGTAGCAATTCTCATATCAGACAAAATAGATTTTAAAATAAAGACTATTATAAGAGACAAAGAAGGATACTACATAATGATCAAGAAATCAATCCAAGAAGAAGATATAACAATTGTAAATATTTATACACCCAACATAGGAGCACTGCAATATATAAGGCAAATGCTAACAACCATAAAAGAGGACGTTGACAGTAACACAATTATAGTAGAAGACTTTAACACCCCACTCTCACCAATGGACAGAACATCCAAAATGAAAATAAATAAGGAAGCACAAGCTTTAAATGATACATTGAACAAAATGCACTTAATTGATATTTATAGAATATTCCATCCAAAAACAACAGAATACACTTTCTTCTCAAGTGCTCATGGAACATTCTCCAGGATAGAACATATCTTGGGTCACAAATCAGGCCTTACTAAATTTAAGAATATTGAAATCGTATCAAGTATCTTTTCTGACCACAGTGCTATGAGACTAGATATCAATTACAGGAAAAAATCTGTAAAAAGTACAAACACATGGAGGCTAAACAATACGCTACAAAATAATGAAGAGATCACGAAGGAAATCAAAGAGCAAATTAAAAAATACCTAGAAAAAAAATGACAATGAAAACTCGACAACCCATAACCTATGGGATACAGCAAAAGCAGTTTTAAGAGGGAAGTTTATAGCAATACAATCCTACCTCAAGAAACAAGAAACATCTCAAATAAAATACCTAAGCTTATACCTAAAGCAATTAGAGAAGGAAGAACAAAAAACTTCAAAGTTAGCAGAAGGAAAGAGATCAGATAAAAAAGAAATGAAAAATAAATGAATAACACAATATCAAAGATCAATAAAGCTATAAGCTGGTTCTTTGAAAACATAAACAAAATTGAAAAACCATTAACCAGACTCACTAAGAAAATAAGGGAGAAGACTCAAATCAATAGAATTAGAAATGAAAAAGGAGAAGTAACAAGTGACACTGCAGAAATACAAAGGATCATGAGAGATTACTACAAGCAACTACATGCCAATAAAATGGAAAACTTGGGAAAAATGGACAAATCCTTAGAAAAGCACAACCTTCCAAGACTGAACCAGAATAAATAGAAAATATAAACAGACCAATCACAAGTACTGAAATTAAGACTGTGATTAAAAATCTTCCAACAAACAAAAGCCCAGGACCAGATGGCTTCCCAGGCGAATTCTATCAAACATTTAGAGAAGAGCTATCACCTATCCTTCTCAAAGTCTTCCAAAATATAGCAGAGGAAGGAAAACTCCCAAACTGATTCTACGAGGCCACCATCACCCTGATACCAAAACCAAACAAAGATGTCACAAAGAAAGAAAACTACAGGCCAATATCACTGAT